GCGCCGTGAGCAGTTCTGGTTCTGTTTGGGCCGCAGCCGCTCACATTTGTTTACTGTGAAGTAAAGTTGAAGTGCTGAAGTTTTGAAAACTAATTTTGAATAAAACTTGAAGAATAACTGGCAATTGCTCATTTTAAGAGGTCTTTCATATTTTATAACATGCTATTTGATATAATGGTTTACAAACGCAAAAGTAATTTATTAGAGTACTCGATTAATCGATAGAATATTCGATAGAGTACTCGATTACAAAAATATTCGATAGCTGCAGCCCTATAATTCGTGTGAACATTAATAAGGTTTATTAAAGAACAGTGGTCTTCTCTGGTGTGGCTAGCAATTTTCTAGGGGTGCCCAGTTCACACGGCAGGATAATGATGCAGATTTTTGACCAGCTCTGCTCCTTCACACAATCTTAAAGGAGTGGTTGACTCGTTTAATCAATACATTAGCAGTGGTCGCTAGTGGGAATGAATGCCTTGTCGTTCTCCGGGGGGAAAATGTACCGGTGTACCATTTCTCTGACCTAAAAGTTGCCCACATCACATCCTTTCCTAATGTCCAGAAGGGTGGTTTGGAGCACAGGCTGGGTGTTTTGCTAATCTGCAGGAAATATTGATGACAAAGATATACAGAAAGTAGCCAATACTTATCAGGAATATCGCTAGGTTGTTCGTTAGATGCTTATGGAAGAAAAAAGTAATGAAAGAGGTTTGAAGTTACCAACACTATGTGAGAGTTGTGCTTGATTTTCAACTCGAATCAGCGCAGGATTAATCCGCGAGGGAGGAGCAAATAATCAACACATGAACACTTTGTTTTTATCCATCCCTCCATTTTCTTCCACTTATCCGGTGTCGGGTCATGGAGGCAGCAGTCAAGCAGAGAGGTTAGGGTTAGCCAGCCACTTGAGCAAGCTCTTCTGGGGGAATCCCAAGGCAGTCCCTTCAGAGTGTCCTGGGTCTTCCTTTGGGTGTTCTCCCAGTTGGATGTGGCCAGAAAACCTTACCAGGGAGGAGTCCTGGAGGAAAATCTTACTCAGCTCTCTCTTCACCACAAGAGACCGAGACAATGCCTGCAGTACTATAGACACAGCACCAATCCACCTATCGATCTCCTGATCCATCTTTCCCTCACTCGTGAACAAAACCCCGGGATACCTAAACTTCTCCACTTGAGGCAGGACCTCATCTGTGAGCTGCAGAAGGCATTCTACCCTTTTCAGACTGAAGACCATGGTCTAGGATTAAGAGGAGCTGATTTCCATTTCAGCCGCGTCACACTTGACCGCAAACCACTTCAGAAAAGAGCTGAAGATCACATTCTGATTAAGCCAACAGGCCACCAAAATGGATCCCCTCAACACCTTGGCCGTGCCTAGAAATCTGGCCCATAATAGTTAGGAACAGAATCGGTGACGAAGGGCGGCCTTGGCAGATTCCAACTCTCACCGGAAAGGAGCCCGAGTTACTCAAAACCCAGATCGTAATTGAGGTTAAAATTAAATTAACTGACCCACCCTTGTCACATTTAACGCAGTTTCATTTGTCTTTATCTTGTAGCGTACCACACCAAAACATACCTGCATCCTTACCCATTAGTGACCTCTGAAATCTAAGCTCTGTGCACTGACTAATGGTTATGAACATCCAGAACATATTTTGGTCATCATAAAAAGATTATATCATTTAAAACATGTTCATCCCACAGCTCCACCACAAAATAAGCTCCCTTCACCACTTCTTCTCTCCAATACACCATTACTCAAACCACACACATTGAAAGTGTTTCAAAATGCATGGTGGCCTATTTATTATTGGAGGGGTACTCCAACTGACAAACAAATACCTAGAAATGAAGTCATCTGGCCAGGACATGTTTACACAAACACTGCTGAGCGATTTTATGGCTGATGTTTCCTTGTAAGTCTTTACCACTCTCTTCCTAACGGCTCCTCCTTCTTCCCCTCCACCGCCTCTGTGTTTCCAAACACCAAGCTGATCAAAACATAGCATTTGATGCAGTACTGGACCACAGAAACCACTTGACTCTAAAACAGACCTCTGTCTGAATATGCTTTAGGGTCTAGATGTCCTTGTAGAGTGGAAGAGAAAAGATGGGTTGGACCACCAAACTTGATAGGTCAGACAGTTTAGCTACCCAGTTTACTCCTCCCCGTCACTAGCTCTCCATCCTCCTTGTAACAAGATCCTAATAATGAAGCTAGTGAGTATTAGGAGTCAGGACTCCAACACCAAAGGCTCTACACAGACTAAACAGATCCAGTTAATGGTGGAAAGAGCTGATCTGTTGGAGAAATGCGTCCAGCGGCCATGCCAGAATGCATACATACAAAACAAGTCACTGGGGCCCCTTTGAAACATCTGTAGTTTAATTAACTGTGCTAATGCCTGGGTGGTACTGTCATCACCCAGGAACAATCAGCTGCAAATATGTTACTATGGTAAATATGAAGCTTCCAGATTCTCCTTTTGAGAGCTTGATTCTGTTTTTAAAAATTCTCTTTTGGTCAAATAGGACCTAAAGATGTCTAAATCATTGGAGTTTTGTTACTCACGTAAACAGTTTGGGCTGATATTGTGAGGGTTCTCTCGCCAAAAAACAGATGGGTCAGTTCGACACTTCTTATGAAGCTAGCATTTGTAGCAGTTCTTTCCTGACGTGACAACGTCAAAACCACAACTCTTGACCCGTTTTGTGTTTTAGTTTCTCCATCTTGAGAAACAAATGTTTTTCATTATCAGAGTGATTTCTAATACTTGAGTGCACATGGTATTGATTATCATTTAGTGGGGCTACATTCACACACGTCACCTCGGTACTTTACCACCAAGAACTTGAGTATAACCTAGGCTTTCCACTGGACGCGTAAGTGTTGCGTAACGTAATAAACTTGTTTTCCCCGTGTGGTAAACAACGGTCAGCTACTTCACACTGGGGAAATTTCAGATGCAAATGTTTATTGAAAGCGTTGCACACAGCTGGACCCATAAGGTCGCAAAATCACTGGAGAATTTCAAAACCACGCGTGATTTTGGCCGTTCAAATGATAACAAGCAAAGAGAAAGATGGCAGCATGCATCCCAAAAGGTATATGCTTTACTTTCTTTTAAGTTTTAAGTTTCTGTAATTCTGCATGTCATTTTTTTAAAGTTACCGGATGTTTTCCACTGCTTCGTGTTTGACTTCCTGTCTGGCCTAATCTGAACTGCTAAGCTTGAGGGGTTCTGGAAGCATAGAACGTAAATTTTGAAGAGACAGAACACTACTGTTATGGCCATCAGTTGTTTCAGAAAGTATCACAAGTAGAATTCCTTTTCCAAGCTTTATTCTAACCTACGTCACATATAGCAGAATCAGGCATCCATCTTAACTCCCTCATTCACTTCTCTCTCTCACCTACTTCTCTGATCCAACACCGCTCCCTAATAGTAGAAACAACATAACAGTAACATCCAATATAACAGTGGCTAAATGCTGCATAATGTTAATCAATGTTTATGTAGTCAATGGAAAGGTTATGCCTAATTTATACTTCTTTGTCTGCGTTGGTGCAAAAACAAGCAACGAAATTATCCGTCGGTGCAAGGGTTCTCCGACAGGTTCACAAAGGGTGATGGAGACATGCCCAAATTTTTAAATATCCATCGAAAGTGACACACACCGCAAGTTTGTGATTGGTCAACATGCCGCTTCCTGCAAGTTTGTCAACAGCACCGCCATTGCCCTGTTAGAAAGTAAAAAGCTATTTAGTGGCAGACCCGAAACCGACAGAAGAACGCATCACGGGAAAAAGTCCGAAAATGTGAACGTTTATTCACCTGTGACTGAAGAAGTACAAAGAAATACGGAGCAAACATTTTATTAATGGATGGAAATGACTAGAAATGCAGGCTTAAAGCATGTTCTAGAGGTGGTGACTGCATAAAGAGGTGGAGGAGAATGAAAGACTAATTATTATATTAGTTATAAAGTATCTGAAATATGTAAACATATTAGCAAGTACACTATCGTGGACCGGATACGTGACTGTAATTGTGGCATGATACCACAAAAAGCTCTACTCTGTTGTCCTGGCGGGGAATTGCTTTGCACTCTCCCCAAGTCACGAAAAAGTCAAAGAGCAAAACATCTCTGTCAATGCATGTGCGTCTCTCATGGAGCTGACTGAGATGAATAAATCAGGCTTTAGATGATCTTAAAGAAAATAGATGGAAAAACGCTCTGTTCAGAAAAGTCTGACAGATCTACGTTACCCTGTCACTTAACATTCATGGACCCAACCAACTTAAATAGCAACGGAGAAGGCTGCAGAGCATGTTTCAGTTAGTAGAAGCTAACCGTTAGCATTTGCAACTCCACCACATGGCAGGACTCCTCCAGACTTTTGTTCATTGTGGAGATAAAACATTAACTTTGCAAAGCAAACAGTATCAGTGCAGAGTCACTTTGCTGTTGTCAATCAGAAGCAAGATGTCAAAATATCAGGAAATAAGCTACTTTCTCCTCCAGCTGACTTCTATGTCCCCACACCTGAACTTTGTTACCCCAGAGAATGACTTACAAGGCATTCATTCCCACTAGAGACCTATGCAAATGTATTCAAATGTGAGTACACTTGTTCTTTAATTATACACAATAAAAGGGGCTTCATGAACTAGAAGGACAATGTAGCTACTGGTGTTTTTAATTTCCAGCCTATGCAGGTGGTTATTTGATGACATGTTGTGCATAAACGCTCTGGCCACAGTGGTATGTGAGTGCGGTGGAAGGGCTCGGGGGAAAGTGAGTGTCTCTGCCGTTTAATGTGATAAACTATCATCAGTGGTTTCTTGGGAGTCAGTAGCAGAGGACAGTGCCAAATTTTGAATGGCAAACCACTAAACCAAGACAGCATAAAATTAGGAGTGAAGAGCTAGCTACTCATTGAACAAAGACTCAGTTGCACCACAATCTACAACAGTGCATCGTGATCATACCTTTTAGGGTCTATCAGCTTGTAGAGTCTCCCACTTTGTGACTGTGACATGCTCTTACTGCTGGCTAGTATGTAGACTTCACCTGCAAAAATGAAAAAGTTGTGAGCAGTTTTGCATGACGTGGTAAGAGTTTGATGGGACAATTGGATACTCGTGACTGGGAAACAGGCGGATAATTTAATGAAGAACAAGCCTGGAAGAAAATTACATATGGGTAGAAATTGTAAACATGTGTCTGTGGGGCCCCTTCGTTGGGACATGTGATTCTTGCACTGCTTGCAAACCATGATCAAACGCAGAAAATCTTTAAATAGTCCATCATAACTCCAAGACTTGACAATAACAGTGATCAAATGTTTGTGATGGCTGTGTGAGTGATTCACATCTTGTTTTGATTTTTATTTAGAAACGCCACAGCTGACAGTTAATGCATTTTGCAAATGTCTGGTGGAAGTCCAAGCCATGAAAATGTCAAGTTTTTTATATTTAAAATGTTAAAACGCAACTTCTGACAAATTAAAAGAAAAAAATAGCCAATAAGAAGTTAAAGCTAAACTGAACACATAAGAAAGTTAAATCCACGGATCTCAGATTGGATCAGTTGTACTACCAACCCAGTTCATCTTCTCCAAAGCCCAAGATGTGTCCAACAAGGACAGAACCACAGGAACTGGCAGAACCCAAACACAGAGGCTTTTCCTGCCACAGTTCGCCACTGGAGGATGTCCCGAATGCAGACTTCTGTAGGATCCGCAGGTTCCTTAAACAAAAACACAGGTTGGTCTTTATCATCACCAGCATTCATTGGTAAATCATATTAATTTTTTCCTTAAAAGCCTAACACTGACACCCCCCCCCCAACACACACACACACACACACACACACACACACACACACACACACACACACACATGCACACTTAGAAAACAGTGTTAATGAAAATAAAAACAACTTTCATGGTTTTTGTGTAAGTCAGCTCAATGATTCATTGTCCTTTTGCATCAAATGGCTCAAACTGTGACGTTACTAAAGTTTAGGTTTCCAAATAAATGTTATGCTGAACCCTTCACTAAACCGCTACAATAGGCACTCAGACTGTAATGAGATACAGAATTTACACCGACCACACATTGTTTCAAACACAATGCCAACTCCTGATAGTGTGCCCACACACTACTTACTTCCTTTGCTTATAAAAGCATCACTGTTTGACATCAGCAAAGCAGGATGAATTACAAACCAAGGAAACGTTGTGAACAACACCGGGCAGGAAGTCTAATCTCAATTAACACTCAACAGGCTGTTCTGTTGTAGTTATAGTAACATAAAACGTGTTTTCCCCCTCATGGATGGAACTTTGTGAAGACAAGATTCCATGCAAGGAATAGTTTTTTTTTAAAAGGCAAAAAGACAGGATGCACATCTTCTGCTTATATATATATATATATACAGCATATATATATATATATATATACAGCATATATATATATATATATATATATATATATAAAGTCCTTTGTTTGGACTTACCCATTTTTGTCTCCAAACACGTAACTGCCATGAAGTCTTCTAGACTGGCACCCCCTATAGATGAAGGCCCCCACAGGTGGAGCCCCTCCACTGGACTGCAGGTCATAGATAGAGGGTTCATGTTCTATAAAGAGACATAGATGTGTCAAACCCATTGATGGCATCCTTGTTTTTCATATCCTAGTATATCAGTAATTAACTAAATTGATCACTGTTTAATTAGTGCTTTTTGGGGGAAATAAGAAAGCTAAATTGGAAGTGAAGCAATAAATGTACAAGTCAGCATTACCTCACTCCTGAAAGGGACTAACAACACTTTTAATTGGTTAAGAATGCAAAATGCAGAAAAAAATGTATTGTTGGTTGTTTTCTCATTGTGAGAGGAACTAGCCATTTTTTTCTAACAGCACTAAGCCATCCACTAGAGTAGCGGACCTTTCCTGTCTCCAAGACAAGCCAGGGCCCCCCAACCCCTTTGTCAGGCACACAGTTAAAAGTGAATAATTACAAAATGTATTCAGACACACAGACGTGCTTTTTACATAAACATTTGATTGTACTATTGTGTGTGATCTGGATTTATAAATGTTGCTTTTACAACTATAATCTTGGTAACCTCACAACCTCAGCGCACACTAAACTTTGGGACCCCAGGTTTGAAACTGCTCTAGAGTAAAATGTCGTCATTGATGACAGTTTTGTATAACCTTTCCTGGAAATTCTACACAATGCAGGGGAAGAATATGTCTGGGTCACATGATCTGCTCATTTACTTCCCGGTCCCAACCCTTGGCTTGTTTCTGAATTAGTTGCCAGGACATTAATCAAAGCAGATATCAGGGGAATAAATATAAAATGGTATGATCTAAAGTGATGATCACACTGTTTTATCACAGGAAATATTAAGATAACAGAACCACATCTTTGCTCAAACATGAGTTAAGTTAATATTTAAAATGGTGGTAATTGTGGCTCACCATAATCCTTCCCTTTGGTTATTTCCAATATCCTTCCAGCAGATGTGTTTTTGCCGCTGGCGTCTGTGCAGAGGATAACAAGGCTCCCATTATCTGACTGAAGTTGATCCACTGCACACCTAAAGAACACAGGACATTCAGAACTAGTGGAAAAAAGAAATTCTTTATACCTGGCATTTCTTCTGCTCTTCTTTAAAAACATAATGTAAAATAGTAAAATGTAAAATGTGCACAGCTGATAAAAACATCAACAACAAATTGCCATTTGCAGATTGTTTCTTATAGCAAACGCTGCTCTGCGTGATTCTGTCCCATTAGTATCCTCACTTACCTGCCTGGGTCACGTAATCCATGCGCGAAAATTTCAGGCGGCTGATTGGTGCTGTTAAAGTATGGATTGTCCCGTGGTATGGAATAGGGAGACGAACAGATTTCTGTGTCCACGTCTACTCTGAGGATGGACCCTGTGAAATCACTGCATTCAAACACACAAAATCAACTTACATTGATAGAAAAACTAGAAGTTAAAGAACTTAATCTTTAAACGTAAAGATAGGACCTTGTTTGGACCTTTCAGCTCACCTGAGTCCATCCATTTCCTCCATATCATCCAGGGTGATCATTCCATCTCCCAGAATGATGTGCAGCAGTCCCTCAGGGCTAAACAGAAGCTGGCCCCCGAGGTGTTTCCTGTGCAGCTCGGCTACCTCCATAAGCACACGGACGGTCCTGGTGTCTACTTGGTTTGGGTTTTTGCTACAGAAAGCAAAAACAAGCCTTGTCATTTTTTTGTTAAAGATCAAGTTCACTCATATTTTTAATACAAATGCAATGGGCTCTAGTAGGAATGTAGTAAGATGCTCTGTTTGAAAACATTAAAAGTAGCCGGAGGAGAAAGTGGCGGAAGACGGCAGAATTTGGAGTTTTATTTCCTGATATTTGGACATCTTGCCTCTGATTGGCTAACAACAACATGACTCGGCACTGACTCCATTTACTTTGCAATGTTGATGTTTTATCCCCACAAATAAAATAACCCTTGAGGAGTTATGCCGCGTGGTGGAGTTACTAATGCTAATGGTTAGCTTCTACTAGTCGAGACCTTCTTTTTCCTGGATGCTAAACCAATAACAGCCTTCACTATTGTGAGCCAAGAAGGGTGAGTCAATGAATGTGAAAGGTATACTTTCACAACTTTTTCATATTTTAAAATCCTTTTCTCAAGCCAGTATGTACTAAAATGGCCCTTTACAAGGTTAATGAAAAGTCACTCAGACCCCACCACCCTCTATGACCAGAATACCACACTTGCAACCTCAGACTATGCGGGCTACCCCCAGTAAGTCTAAGTAAAGTGATTCCTGCATGTTTTAGATTGTGAACATAGTTGGTTTGTTTGATTTAGTGACGGATAGCTCCTGTAGACACTAATAAGGGCTGAGGAGACATTTCAGCTGTTAGATTAAGGTTTTAAATAGACGAACACACAGCAAGGAGAAGACTTACTACAATGAGTTAAAATGGTCTAGGGGGTAATAAAACCAAAACTTCCGTTTCCTTTGAAATGACAGCATGACGTTGATCTGCCATTTTATTCTAAACTGTGCCTTTTTCTGCCTATTTGCTATCAGAAGCTCATACAGGAAACAGTGGTAGAAGATTTTTCACGTCCATCCTGCATGTGAAACTCAGAGTGATGGATCATTTAAAACAACATGTAAAAAATGGTTTCTCTGTGAACTTTGTCTTTAATGGTGCAGACTTTTCAGTTACTGCACTACAGAAAAACACAATTTATAAATGAATTCAGCCTACAACACCTTTAACAACTGGCCTGAAACCAGATCACAGTAACTGTGCTTTGAAATATGACATTAGAAACATCTCCTTCAATGAACACACACATCACCCCGTAATTACCTGAAAGAATAATTGTGTTGTTGGTGGGGTGATAATGAGCCAGAAATGACAGAAATGCTGGCACAACTTGCAGAACGAAATCCATCCCGAAATAAGTTTGAAGACGTTGTCGTCTGGAGACGTTAAGTCTAAAGCTAAAGTAACGTCTTACAAAATGCTAAGATGGTGGGTGGAGATGGAAAAGGGGAGTCAAGGTGCTACGTTGAGAACTTGGTTTCACAGATTCAGCAACAAATACACCACGATGCATCATGTGCTATTTTGGGTAATTAAAAAAAACATTGCTCAAGAAAAAAAATGATCAAACCCTCTCATTTTTTTGGGTAATTTCTCCAAAGAATCCTCAAATTAGGGGCCGTGAGCTTATCCAGACTGCATGGCAATGGTATAATTATAATTAGCTCATTAAGTCGAACATTCATTTGAGAATAAGGGAATTAAAGTATCACACTTAAACATGATCGTGAAATAATGTTATTTTCTTAAACATGGGTCATTAAGAAAGGAGTGTTGGGTAACGCCACAGGTAAAAGCAAAGCATTGCATAAGTTTTACTTCACTTTAGTTCCCTATAGGTTTGCCCTATTTATATGTCTCTATGAGACCAAAGTCTCGACAGTTTCTCTGAAAGTCCGTTAATGATTTTGCCGCTATGGTTACAAGTAAAAATCACAAAAGTGGATATAAAAAATCACATTCTCAGTCCACAGTTTTAGACCCTGTACACACGTAGCTGGGTGTCCCACATAACAAAGCTGTCTTTCTACGGTTTGGCCTGTCATTCACACAGAAGTGAGGATGTACACCACCAGTAATGATTCTTTGATTCGAAACTCCAACAAAAGTTGTGAATCTTCCATTGTTAGCATTTGCTTGTGGACGTAAACTGCCAAAGTTTTAGATTTCGCAACATCACTGCCAGCGACAAAAATGCTCTGACATCCCATGTGTGACCTGTGGTTACACTCGCTTGTTTTGCAACCTCAATTACTGCTCTGTGTAGAAGACAACAGGCAAAGGACGACATTAGGGACAGTTATCACCCACCACCTAGTTATTCAACGTCCAAGGAATGGTTTTCGGCAAAGACGCCGAACATTTGGGGAACTACAAGCTTGACATGCTTAATGCAGGAGGTGATGTGGACCCAAGTTTTTTCCTAGATGGGCGGGTGAGTATAAAAACCTGGCTGTGTGTGTACATGGCCTAAGTTGATGTTTTTGATGGTGGTGAATGGAATGTTTAGTAGACACTGGTCCATTACCGTGAAACAGTGTATTCAACCACACGGAGAATGTGGTCGTGAGGTCCACTGGCCCAGCGCTCTTGGTTGGTGGTGTAGGAGACGTAGAGTTTGCCATTCTTCTTGTAATTGGGGTGGAATGCCAGGCTTAGCAGGCCCCTTTCATCACCACTCTGCAGTCAGATGAAAAACACAAAAGATCTAGGAGTTAATTATGTCCCTGCTTGGCTTCTGCTCCTCAGTGTGGGGCTGGAATCACCCCCTTGGTCATATTCATCATCACTAACATGCCACCTCCATCACCCCCTTATCTAATCCTCTTTTATATTTGTCCATCAAGTTCCCTTTCACAGTCCAGCTTATTATCTCATTCGCACTCTCCATTGTTACGCTTCACATCTTCCATCGGCCCCCTTGAATACGCCATTACCAGCTATTATAAAACATTTGACTCTGGGTAGAGCTGCACCTTCTCTCCAGTCCCCATCACCCCCACCCTACGGCATTGCAGCGACTTTCCTGCAGCCTGGTTGTGTGTGCGCTTGTCCTCAGGGTCGGGGGGCCCTGTGATGCTCAGACCCTCCCGGTGGCCTCCATTGTGCAGTGATTTGTGTGTGTAATCTTTGGGGGATATTTGTGAATACTGCGCTGAGTGGCTGAAAGAATTTATTAGCTCACTCACAGTTCATAGAGAGCACAAAAGTGCAGAGTGCTTCAGACCGTGCTTTTTGCTTCCCAATCCCTCGGTCTTTACCGATTCACACAAAATCCATGCACGATTCAAGGCTCGGATGAGAGGGGGTGGAAGGAGAGTAGACTTAAAATGGGGAGGAAAAAAAGGAAACCTAAACAAGAGGGGAGCTGCCAACTCCCACTGTCTTGGCAACATGTTTAGAAAACATCTAAATTGCTTGTGTAATATGTAAACCTTTGTCTCATCCCGGAGGCAGCTACATCACTTGTCACTACCCTGGTGGTCCATCCATCATACCTTTCTGTAATAATCGGCTATGGCATTTCTTCCCCCAGGCAAGAGAAACCAGACCTAACCTTTTGAATTGTTTTCTCATTTACTCTTAATAAAGGAATGAATGGAATACTGAGCTAAGGTGTGAAAAATAATTGCATTGCATGACTGTGGGGATGTCTCTTTCAAACAGCTGGATTCCACAAATTAAGCAGACTTTAGTGTTGAGGCACAAATAAGGGGGAAGCAGTCTGATCCTTCAGGTATTACGTATCAAAAGTGTAAACAAACAAAAAATAAAACCAATATTTTCGTTAGGCCAATTAAAACGCTTTACAGCCGTGGTCAAATGTTTTAAGAATGACAAAAATCTAACATTCGTTTTAATATCTGCAAAGACCCTGTTTGCCATAAAAATGAATTGAACCAGCTGAGAACTTGAAGGAAGCAGCTTGTTTTTAATCTATCCCCTTTGTTGGTTGGTTGTGGCATCTGGGAATAGACATGTTTGGATAAGAAAAGATAGAGCTATCCTGTGTTGTTGAAAGTAAAGAATCCTGAGATCATTCGTGTGTGAGGTGTTGCCTTCTCCAACGTAACGGAACACTGTGCCTTATGACTGAAGTGATAGTGTCTCAAGGAACAAAACATCAAATTAGGCCCATGGCCAGAAAACCCTGAGCTTAATCCCAATGAGGACTTGATATGAATTCTCAAGAGACACGGAAAAATCCATAAATTCTGGCAAACCCCAGGCACTCATTATGCATGAAGGAGCTGCTATCAGTCAGAATCTGATCAGAAGTAAAATGACAAAATATCAGGGCAAATTGCAAAGGTCAACACTGCAAATATGTCAGCTTAAAATGAATGTCAATAAAAGTAGAGGCCGGTGTCGGTACAGGATCTGCTCGGGTGCTGGATCAGCTCGGGGTCCTTCGACTGCTGATGACGTCAAAGTAGTTGATTGGCTGAACATGAAGCTTACGGAAGTGACGTTATCACGTTATGATTTTGATTGGTCGGAACAAATTTGCGGTCGCAGTCTTAGCGGTTGTAGTCCTGTTGTCCAAAAATCAACACTTATTGGAGAAAATATGTTTGAATTTCTAAATGAAATGTAAAATATAAGCAAATGATAAACGGTGACCCTCAAAAGCTCTTGATGTTGACGAAATGGAGCAAAATAAAATATAAGAACTTTATTGAAAGACACCAAGTAATATTTTGAGTCAAAGAATGTATTTAGATACCAACTAAGGAAACATACAGACGAACTCCACATTAATACAAACAGATATGGCTTCACATATAAGAACTGTTCTATTTTTTGTCAGTCCGATGTTGGTTTTATGCAGTTTCACATTCTTTACAAAACAAAGATAATATGGTGTTTTATTAACAAATTACAATTATAAAGAAAACATTTAGGTGTCAACAAACAAGAATTTATTAACAAAACTGCTGATGTCTTTCCAAAACGTGTGTGTGAAAGCTGAGTAGATTTGCAGTCATGTGACGTCATTGACAGTTGAAGGACCCCGAGCCGATCCTGTACCAACCGATAGATTCAATTTTTTCTATTTCGGCCGAAATTATTTTTAAAAGGTGATTAATATATATATATATATATATATATATATATATATGTATATATAAATAACGCCGATAAAAAAATATCAGGCACCTGTATGGCCAACTGTCACCACTACTGGAAAGGGCCCAAAGGACCCCAACGTACCGTTGTTTTAGTGTTTTCTGTTTGTTTTATATTTGAAGTTCAATAAATATTAAGAGATTTATTGACTTATTTCATTTATGTTGCACACAGTGAGTGTTCAGTTGTCTTTCACAATCATTGTGCTGCTAAGACCTTTATATATATATATACATATATACACACACACACACACACACACACACACACACACACACACACACACACACACACACACATATATATATATATATATATATATATATATATATATATATATATATATATATCGGCCTAATAGGCGGCTTTATATATCAGCCATAGGCAACAAAATTCTACAAAAATCTGTATCGACATCGGCCTTAAAAACCCCCATATCAGTTAGCCTCTAAATAAAGCCTTTGAAATTTCTGAAATGACTGGAATTGTACTTTAGTATGACACAGGAACATCTGACAAAAGTAATACTTTACAAGATTGCCCTCATTACTTAGAAAGACCACTTCCCCAAGGCAAAAAGAGTGTCTCATCACGTCAGACAAATAAAAATAAATGCATAAATGCACTAAATGGGTCAGCAATCAAAGCAGAAGAGAAAATCCAAACCGTATTCTGAAATGTTAAGTCCATGTGATGGAAAACAGATTTGCAGTCACCCACATCCTCTAAATAAACTTGTGATAGGAAGTGAGCCAGAGGCCCAGATCTGGAGCTAAACGGGGATCACCAAGATGTGCAGCAGTTGAAATGATCTCCCTTGCTAACGTCTAACTCCTTCAGAAAGAGGGAACGCAGAAGTCCCATACACTGCCTTGGAGTTTTCTAAACACACTCTGTGTTTAAAAAAACACATTCCTGCAATTCTTCTAAAATATGAATTTGATTAAAGATGATATACCAGGAGAGTGAACCTATTGTAAACGCTGCACCTGGAAACGCTGTTTTAATTATATAATTTAAAAGATTTTCGTATATGCACAAAAAATGAAATGTTGAATTTACCTAAGTCATGTGAACTAGTTCCACTAAACCCAGTTGCTCAAATGTAGAGTAATATGCATTCGTTTATATTGTTTTGTAAACATATATTACTCTTTACAAGGTTTGTTGGAACCAGTTGACATGACTTAGATGCGTAAATTCAACATTTTATTTCTTAGTGCATTCACTAGGCGTGTGTATTGACTATCTGGTGATACGATATCTATAGCAATGCAGAGGAGACGATACGATATATCACAATACTATAAGCCAGAAGATCTTTGCAATTTTTAGAACTGAATTTAACTGAAAAACAGACCAGATATGTTCAAAACATGTCCGGTGTTATCACGAGATCTCATAGTTCCATCAGAATGAGCGCGGTAAAATCTAGCAATCAAAGTTTGAATTGCACCCTACAAAACAAATACAGTAAATGGTTGCATGTGTAACAATTGATGCACAGCTTTTAAATATAAATATATATGTGTATTGCTTTCTTACAATTGTTATATTCACACAAATACTTAAAACATATCAATAGATGGTTGGAGCGTTTTGTTCAATTCACTTCTAAGGCTTCTGTTTTGGTCACGTACTGGTTTCATGCCACATAAAACGGAGAGTGTAAGTGCAAAGATGAGGAGTGGATGTTATCTCAGGGCAGGGTACACAGAGTAGTGACGGTGTCTAAATGAACATTTTTAATTTGTCCTTTTATGAAAGAAAATCTGTCCCTGATCTAAGTTTTCTTCTAGGGTCCTTCAACCCCTAATGGTGCTTTATAACACAGTCATTCTACCCCCCCCCCCCCCCCCCCAAGCTTTACTGAAGTATACTGACTTTTGCACCATATTCTAATGTTTTGAGTTTCACTTGTAGATAGGACATTTAAATGGTAGAATGGCCAGTACTTGATCAAACACATTTTACAGTCCAAGACTGTTTATTAGTTTATTTCCCAGCATGCATTAATTTATTCTTAGTTTCTTGTTAATTGGTTGTGCTCCTGTTAATTGGATGCCTTCTTTTAGAAGTATCCAAGCACATGGTTGTGTAGACGTCCCACATTCTGGTCATTGTCATTGAGCCCATCTGTATTTTACTGTGTGAGCTGCAGGCACCTACAGACTCCATTCATACAACATAAAGGAGTACTTTCCCATTGGGATGTTGCCATGTTTATTTGTGCAGTAGAATCTTATTGCAGTAATTATTAAATAGTTTAATTGCACTAATTTGACTGTTTGGTTCAGAATCTGGAGCAGTCTTTAACCTAAATGTTCTCCAGCTCAGACATCGCTAGTCAAACAAGGCAAAGTTGAAAGCAGTCATGCAGAAGTAAGGCTCATTGTGTGTCTTAAAAAACAGCGACTCCCAGAATAAAATATTCTAGATTACAGAAAATGTTTAATAACTTCAATCCATCCATCCATTTTCATCCACTTATCCGGAGTCGGGTCGCAGGGGCAGTAGCCTAAGTCGAGAGGCCCGACTTCCCTCTCCCCAAACACTTGGGCCAGCTCCTCTGGGGGAATCCCAAGGCGTTCCCTGGCCAGGTGAGAGACAGAGTCCCTCCACCGTGTCCTGGGTCTACCTTTAGGCCTCCTCCCAGTTGGACGTGCCTGGAAAACCTCACCAGGGAGGCGGCCAGGAGGCATCCTGACCAGATGCCCGAGCCACCTCAACTGGCTCCTCTTGATTTTTAACAACCTGAGGAACGTTATTAGCCGCTGTAAGAGGTGGTTGATCTGTATTTGCATGTTGAAGCTGTGATACACAAAAGAAGATAAACCAGCTGAAACCAGCTGTAAGCTAAACAAATTTAGGAGAATCAGGAAAAAAATTAACTGTTTGATGAATTCTTAGAAAACAAAATCATACTATTGAATGACGCAATCAAAAACAAGAAGAAGAAGAAGAAAATATCATTTCTATAGTGCCTCTCAAGATAAAAATCACGAGGCGTTTCACAAAAACAAAAAAGAAGTAAAAATATAAAAAAGCATTTAGAAAATATTTACAAATATATTTAAAATGAGCAAAAATAGGCAATTAGGATTTAAAAGAAAATATGTTAAGAAAGAGAGAGAGTGAATAGGAAAGAGGGAAGTCAGTGGATCCTGAGGAAGGTGGAATAAGTGGGGAGGGCAGAATAAAGAGAGAGTGGTTGAAGAAGGTCATACAAAAGCCAGCTTGAACAAGTGAGTCTTCAGCTGCTTTTTAAAGGAGACCACTGAGTCCACTGATCTCAGGCTCAGGGGTAGAGAGTTCCAGAGTCTGGGGGCCACAGCAGCAAATGATCTGTCACCTTTGGTCTTTAGCCTGGTGCGTTGCACAACCAGTTGGCCAACCAAAAGGCCAAGAATGCAGCAATAGCAGAAGGTCATTAAAACTTCCCATAATCCAGATGAGAGGAAACACCTTTCTAAAGATAATACAGACAAATCACCACAAGTCTCTGAAACAAAGTCTAGAAAAAGCACCTTGGAAGTCGGACCAGTTCTCTAAAAGAATTGTTCGACTAGATGAAAGGAAGACTGAGCTGAAGCAGTTTGAATGAAATTAAAATGTTTTGGGAATGTTCTCGTAATCTGAAGCATGCGACATCCGGTTTACTGAGTGAGTTATAAACTCCTAACCCTTGTGATATTTTGGGTCACTTGAAAGCTTTGGGACATGGCTTTCGACATTGATCAAGTGGGCTTTTGTAGCTTTTAAGAACAATAAAAGTTTCTAACTTGAACTTTTAGAGCTAACAGTCCAAATCTCGTGACCCAGCTCTATAACCTCAAACAAACTGGGCCCCTAGCCACTGGCACAAAGTTACAAAATAAAGGAATAGGGCAAAGTGGTAGGGGCAAAGGGTGAAAAGGGGTTTTGGCTTACTTTCAGGAGAACACCCACAATGAAAGGAGGAGCCCACACCGCCACAACAAACTATTGTTTCTGTGCAGTTTGGTTAAATTGGCACCGAGGGGATCCATGAAAGGAGGAGGATGGACAAGCAACAGGAAACACAGAACATTACAGTCAAAGCATGTGCATGCAGCTAAAGATAAACCCGTTATCTGCCCTGCCTTAGAGAGCCTGTATGTACAAAAGCAGCTCCATCCTGTTGATGCTCCCAGTAAACACCTTAGCCCTACCCTGGTTCTTTCCACCCCAAGAAACAGCGAGACTTACTTTGCAGCCAACATCACAGAATAGGACTCCTGGGACTTTAAGGGGATTCAGCCGCATTTAATTGCCATAATTGACACTTTATCCTTGACCAGCTTGGGCAAAACTGTGATAAGAGAGCTGAGAAGAGCAGGACGTGCATTCTGCAGGGACCAGTTGCTTATGCAAATGCAGCGCTCCGTTTGACTCCTTGTAAACAACACATCTTGTCAGCAGCGGAGCAAGGGACATGTGACAGAGATAAACTTCCTGTCTGGGAGTGTGCCCTCCATGCATTCCAGCTATTTATTCTTTCTAGAGGAATCTAAGGAATTTAAAGAGCAAATTGCAGGTAAATTTTTTTTCTGATTCATATAAAATGCTGTCCAAAAATACTATTTAAAAAGCTTGTTGTGGATATTTGGTTTTAAAATACATAACAGCAGATTTTTTCTAGTAGAACGTGGCCTCTCTCAGCAAAGCTTTTTTTCTAAATCTGAACCTCTGACGCAACCAAAGGGAGTTGGAAGCTAGGCTGCCTCAGCTCAGTGTGGAGAGTGGCTAGTTGTAGGGTAGAGAGGTCATGTTATCCAGTCAGTGTGTGTGTTTACTAGTTTTGGATTGTGTTCATGTTGATAAACTAGAGTGTGTGAAGGCTGTACCAACTCCAGCCTGTCTGGACATCGAGTCCCTGGGTTTCCAGACAAGAGAAACAACGCCTCTATCTCCGTGCCTGAGGGTGTTTTGTGCAGCTGAAAAGACGGATTTCTGTAGCCCACATCGGTTTGTACTGGGTTAGGGAGGTCCGCGCTGGGCTCCGGAGACCCGTGGCGGGGTTTTAACATTTAAATGCGGATTTCTGGAGCTCAGATCACCGTCAGAACCAGGTCAGAACCGACCACCAGAAGAGACGTGCGGCTCAGCGGGCCAACTGGTTTCTGGGTTGGAACCAGATTAGAACCACCGTGGACCTCTAGGGAAGGATTGTGTGCAGCTTTTAAAAATATCAGCTCAACTGGCTCACTGATGTCTGGGTGGAATCCAGCTCACAGAAGCCCGCATGAGCTCCAGAACCGGATGACAGGCGTCTCTCCTCCTCTCTCTGAATGCTAAACTACAATACGTGATCGGATATTAGCGAGTATGAGACTGCTGATAGACGCTCATTAGTATTAATATTATATTAACTGACCGATACTATTTTAATTGATCAAATTTCAAGTTCGAAACCTGAGTTTAAATGAAAAATATGGTTTGAGACAAAATGCTATTCCAATCATGCACTGCGAGAGGACACGCCTCAGTCAGCTTAGCACACCAACCTGGCTTGAATGCTAAACTGACTTGCATTGAATTAATGTATGTTTGGAACGAAAAGGGATTTATCTTTTGTGCATTGAAGCTTGTGCAGACTATTGTTTTAACCTTTTGTAGCATTGACAAAGATTGCGGGTGTCAGATTCCTGTCGGTTTTAGATGTTGCCCTGAACACTGCTGATTTGTTAAAGCGAGGGATTAGGAACTCCTGCATAACCCAATTAAAGCTGAGGAGATTTTTAAACAGTTGTCAGGCATACCTTAGCAGGAAAAAGTCAAGTATATAACTTATACTTATGGTTAATGCAAGCGCGGAATGAGGCATGGTTTCCAGCTGCTTCCAGAGTGGCATGGGTCATTAAAATTCACGGACATCATACGTGAAACCCATATCTAATTAGAAAATACCTTTTATTGGTCCACAGACTCCCATTTACTTTTATTTTTTGGCGGTAGGGGACCGATGGACCAGAAGTAGAAGCATACCGGCAAACTCGGAACCCACCCACCCCAGAAATAACTCTTCGGACCCTTCGGATCGACACGATTCACGTGAATGTATCTTTGGCTTCAAAAATGGCAATTTTCACCAAAAAAACAACACGTTTGCAGGTAAGTAAATGATTGTGTCTTAGGCTCCCCATAGCCATTCAAATGTCAAAATCTTCTCTTCCTCTTGTTGATGACGCCACACTATGGAGCCCAGCTTTAAAAGACATGTGTTCAATTTCTTGTTACAACAAATGGCTAATCAACCAATTACATGGCAGCAGCTTCATGCATTTAGGCATCCTAAGAACAGGTGATTAAAATCATGGATTGCAGCCAACACATCTGCAGCAGCTGTGTGATGCTATGTCAGTAAGGACTAAAATCTCTTGTTGAATCTTTGTCACAAACATGTAATGAAGGCTGACGTATTCCCACCTTCAGGCCGTTCTGCACCAGCTTGTGGATATCTAAGAAGGGCTCCTTGATAAGTTCCAGGTTGTGATCGAGTATCCTGACGATTCCCTCTCTCTCCAGGACAAAGAGCCGCTGAGAGCCATCGCCACAGTGAGCAACAGCCACCGGCTGCCTCAAACCACTCAACACCTCCTGAGCACAGTAGCAGTTGTGTTTGTGTTTCCTGGGAAACAAGAAAAATAAAAAAATATCACAGAATGATGAAGGATCTCAAAAATCCAATGGAAAGCAAGGAAGATTTTCATATGTATTAACAGCATGCAGTCACATAATAATCTTTGACTGATGTGGGAATTCCCATGAATGGATTGAACTACTTTTATAGGAATGCATATACAACAGCTGGCAAAAAGTTATGTTCCATTGGATAATAGTTTTTACAAATGTATCTGAGCTTTTTTCTCCCAGAGTACGACTCACAAGGCATTCATTCTTACTAGTGAGCACTGCAAGAGTATTGAATGAAGGGAGACTAGGCAGTGTTGGCTTAATTTTAGCACCCCCTAGTGTCTGTTTGGTAGAACCGACAGCAAAACGTGTCTCCTCGCTGTGCGTTTGTCATTTTAACACCTAATCTAAGAGCTGAAATGTCAACCTTCGTTAGCATCTACAGAAGTGGTTCATCACTAAATTAAATAAATCAGCTGTATTCATGATCTAAAACATGCAGGAAATGTGCTGGAAGCAGACTGCTGTGCCTGTCCCAACAGAGCAGCCCGCCAGTCTGAAGTTGCAAGTGGAATATTCTAGTCACAGGGGGCGATAGAGGCTGGGTGGCCTTTCATTAACCCTGTAAAGGGTCATTTTAGCACACACTGGCTCAAAAAAAATCATTTAAAAATGTGAAAACATTGCAAAGTATCCTTTTAAATGAGTGAACCACACATTTAATTCAAATAAAAGCACATTTGTTTTTTATGCCAAAAATTCTCTGTTGAATATCTCAGCTGAAAAGGTTGAGTTGAAAATCATGCTTCCATGAGAATAAAATGTTTAAATTCAGAATACAAACCTACTGATATCCTCTGTTTTCTCATCTTCCAAGTAGTTGGAATCTTGCCCAACAAGTTGCCTTCGTAAAAAATCTGGAAAGCATAATCCAGAACCTTTCCTCCCGTAGTATTGGCAGAACTCATCCACGTCTGCTTGGAACAGCTCTACCAAACACAACACATATAGAGAAAAATGCTCAATGATGAAGCCGGTATGAAATGAAACTTTGATCATGAACAATAAAAAAAATAAAAACGTGTAGCTGAATATCTTGTGAGTGGATATTAAGATGATGTTTATGAAGGCAATGGACAAGTAATGCAACAATCCAACGTGTATATAAAAAAACCAAAATATTAATTTTATATATATATATATATATATATATATATATATATATATATATATATATATATATATATATATCGTCTCATCTTCTACCACCTTTCTGGATCAGGTTCGCGGGGGCAGCATCCCAACTAGGGAGTTCCAGACCGTTGTCTCCCCGGCCACCTCCACCAGCTCCTCCGGCAGGACCCCAAGGCGTTCCTGGACCAGTTCGGAGATGTAACCTCTCCAACGTGTCCTGGGTCGACCAGGGGCCTCCTGGTGGCAGGACATGCCTGAAACACCTCTCTGGTGGTGCAGCGGCTCTACTCCGAGTCTCTCCCGAATGTCCAAGCTCTGCACCCTAACCCAAAGCTCATGACCATAGGTGAGGACTGGGCGGTAGATTGACCGCAAAATCGAGAGCCTTGCTTTCTGGCTCAACTCCTTCCTCACCACAACAAGACTGGTTCACATCACTGCAGACGCTGCCACAATCCACCTGTCGATCTCCCGGTCCCTCTTTACCCTCACTCGTGAACAAGACCTTGAGATACTTGAACTCCTCCACTTGAGGCAGGACCTCTCTCCCAACCTGGAGTTGGCAAGCCGCCCTTGTATGTATATATATACATACATATCTATATATATCTATATATCTATATATATCTATATATATATATATATATATATGTATATATATATATATATATATATATATATATATATATATATATATATATATATATACATATATATGAATCCTTTGCCCAGGTTCTGGGCAAAAGTAAATTTAAAGGTGCATGTAGTAAGAATGACATCCTGTGGTTAAAGGTGGGTACTGCAACCCGTGCATCAAAACAAACGAGTCCAGTTATGGATCAGCTCCAGAAGATTCTACATGACGAGCAAAGAAGAGTCATACATAGTAAATTGTTAAGTAGATAAATACATTTTACTGTAATATTGAGTTATTGGTAACTGATAAAAGTAGCTTGAGACACTTATGAAGCCGACTATTTACTTGCAGTTCACCGTTAGCATTGTTACCTCAACGTTAGCCTATAGTCTTCTTTACTTGATATTAGCGTAAAAGAAAACGATGTTGCGGCTTCCTAGGGGTACAACAAATAACTTCTTGGTAACAATCTGTCCACAACACTACAGCTTTTTTCCACCCGTAGTTACATTACAAATGCCAACGCAGACTTTGCTACATAGTAAACTCACATATGATTGGCTCTGGAACAAGGAGGTATGGAGACATGTTAAACATACATCCCTCTTCTGCCTTCTTAAAAGGAGAAAAGCTAACAACCCCCAGCTGACTGAGAAGGAAATCTGTTTCAATGTAACCTTCCTTCCAACATTATTGAGACATTTGACTGTTTTGTCATTATTTCACAGAAAAATTCTTACATATTGTACTTTGTACCTCGTGGGGATGGGTCAAACGTGGAGATGAATTTCACCAGTGTGTGATGAATGAATGGGACTTTTTTTCAAAATGCAAGATAGTACTTGATTATTTATACACTTATTTTTATTCATTTAAATGCTCATTATTTTTAATATTAAATGCATTAATGACTTTTATACAGATAAGAATTTGATTCTCAGGTTTTTTCGGTCTCAAACACATCAGTGGTTTCTATAAACAAATAAAAATATAAGATTCCTCCTATACTTGTGCAATAACCTAATATTTGTCACACACAGATTCATCCTTCAGGCAGGTCTGCCTGTTTTGCATTACCGAGCTGCATACGGGAACCACTTGTGAAATCATATAATCAACTTGTTAAATATGGCAAGTCACACTGAATAAACCAAATGTTTTCAGGGTGAGATATATTCATTAGCTAAATGGCAAAACAAAGACAAGATGTTTTAAAGTGCTGACAAAAAGGTGATCTGCACAAACACAGACCCACACACACAGTGAAAACCTCCAGTCAGCATGGTCGTAACGTGATTCTCAAAAGAAAGCGAAATCTGGTCCCCGAGGCACTTTGCGACCTGAAAACAATCCTGACAATATTGTTTCCTTTAGTTAATCCCTCAGAGGACAGAGGAGAGCAAATACAGCAGTGATAAAAACACAAACAGGACTTTCCCAGTCCTTCCTTTCATCTCCTCCTGCCCCACACCGCAAGGGTTGACCGCACCAAATACTGGAGGTGATAGGATATCCCCTCAAACATCTAAACACAACATGGAGATCAAACACTCGGAGAAACACACACATAGTTCGACCTATACCACCCACACTCTTATGTCTGCAGTTATCTTTACCATGCTGGTTGGGGACCTTGGGTGCAGGATGAGGGAAGGAGTGAAATAAGATATGAGGAGCAATAAGAGGGAGGCCCCCGGGCAGAAGGAAGCGTCAGGGCAGTAAATATCTTTAGGGAGAAACGGGGGGGGTGGTTAGTGCATTAACTAATCAAAGGTCAGCGAGAACTCCGAGGATGATAGGATGTGGTAAAAGCTACTGTTTTAAGTTCAAATTATCTGTAACACAGAAATACCTAAGGGGCTGTCAAATGATCCCTAAAGTGCAAAAACTGTAAGAGTTGTGAGGAAATAGAAAAGTTAAAAAGAGGGGAAAAAAAGCATAAAACGTGAGTTAGGCTGAAGAAAGGGTGCAAGAAGAAGAGAAACAGAGAAATGCTGTCAGAACTCCGTCCATATCCCTGGCTCCCCGGCACTAAAAGTTATACTTCCATCTGGTTATCTTCCAAGCCAACCTGGGTGGCCCACCCAAAGTACTTGACATCTTGATGCACTTCAGCAGTTTTACATACACACAACCTTTGTAGAAAAATAAATGTGTCCTTCGTCACCACATATGCTGATCCGCGGTGGGCTGAGGGGGGCGAGGATGACGGAGCGAGGCAGCAAGCAGAGGACGAGCAGATTCTTCTCGGGATTCTTTATGCATGCCAGTAGATGAGACAGAAGTCCAACTTCAGAAAAACCTGCTTGACCACCTGCACTCTGGATTCTGTGAGGTCACAGCAGCCGACCTCAACTGTAGCGTAAATGTTGCACATTATCTGAGTTGTGAGCTGCAGGTGAGGATGTACTCGGATGGAATGTGTGTGACTGATATTTGACTTACAGCATGCGCTGTGGGTGGGTTGCAGACAAGTAAGTGAGTTTGAAACTGTTCTTTTTTTTTTTTTTGGCAAATCTCAGCCGATCTAATCAGTTTGGAGAAGACAGACATTGGAGGAAGACCTGGAGAGAGCAGCCAAAAGTGTTTGATCATGTTTGGTATGCCCTCTGAAGTCACAAGTACCTGTGATCTTGAATCTCTTCAAAAGAAAGCCTTCTTAAAAGGAAACACTTTCAGGGCATACACGTCCCTGTGCAACAAAACACGTGCACAGAGAAAGGTGATTCAGAAGAGTTACAGTTTGGTACGACGCGAGTGAACGACTCCAGTGGTGGAGCCTTAGACATGAGTTTTCAGGTTTTACACCACATCTAAGGCCTTTATGTATTCTAAACACAGAACCGCAGGAGTTGAGTCTAGTAATGTGGAGCAGGTCATAAAATAAAGCTTTGTGCTTTAGCCAGACGTCAGATGGACCGGCTTTAGTCAGCACTTGTGAAACATTTGTTTTCACACCCGCCTTTGCAAATCCATTATATCGGGAAATGCTACAACCTTCATAAATAAATCACAGCAGATCTTTAGCTGATTTTAAAAATAAACAGGAAACACAATTTGGACAAATGTAACAAGTACAACCTGCAACTGGTGACACAAACACAAACAGACTTTAAGGAAGTGTGCTTCTGTGAAAATGTTATGACCGGTTAATTCTCAATGGTTGCACATTGCTCTGTATTAAACAGCCTCAGTTATAAAAAACAGAGATGAATCCTGACCATACGGACGACGGGCAATGGCTTCATGGCAGCCCATGCAGACATAGTTTAATAAACACTACAGTTCACGAGGGTGTGTTGAACAGTTTCGGTTTGGTCCACTTGCGTACCGTTTCAGTTTCTTTTTTCCGTTAAATAATGACCTATTTTTTGCGTGAAAGTTCCTAGGCGAGTTTCTGCACAGACGCTGTATTGAGTGGCGCATGAAGGCTGCACGCGCCTGATCTCTGTTGAAAAAATGTGATCCGCAAATTCTGATCAACGCCTTTCAGAGCGGATCAAACCAGCTGGCTGTCGCTGCTACTGGAGCCTATAGAGAAGCTGAACGGAGTGTCACCCCTCCCTCCCTTCTCTCTCCTTGCATATTATATTAATAATATACCAAAAATTAATCAAACCGAGCCCTTCAACACACTGAACTGGACCAAATATGAGTACCGTTACACGCCTAATAAACACCATATTCAGTGATAATTAACTATAGAGCTAGCTACCATTAGCCTGGCAAGGTCACTGGCTGCTCTCAGTCGTAGGGCAGGATCGAACAACGTGACGTGCTCACCGCTGTAGGTGTCAGTCATCGGGGCGGTCTATAAACCGTCAAAGAAGATGCAAATGCATCTTTTTTTCTAGATATACTTGCATACCTCTATCTGCTCTTGACTCAAAGAAAATCCCACATCTATATATTCCAACGTTGATGCCAACGCTGTTTCAAACGAGCATCCTCATCTTAGTTTCTCTCAGTCGCAGTGACACCCCGCCCACCAAACAGATAGAGCATTGTGATTGGCCCACCAGACCGTAAGCACTGCATGGTGGCGCAGTGGTTAGCACGGTTGCCTTGCAGCGCGAAGGTCGCAGGTTAGAAACTCGGCTGCGGCCTTTCTGCGTGGAGTTGCTTGTTCTCCCCATGCATGCGTGGGTTTCCTCCGGGTACTCCGGTTTCCCCCACAGATCACAACACGCCCTATAGGTTATAAATTGTAAGTCGCTTTGGATAAAAGCGTCTGCTAAATGAATAAACATAAACATAAGCGCACTGTAATTGGACTGGAACCAGACTGTCTGTGGCTGCGGAGGTTCGAGGTGCTGAGCAAAACGATTTTGCTTCAACAACTGACAGTCTAGATTCTAGGCTAGGCTACCATAGCACCTCTAGATGAGAGTTCTTAATTGTGGCAAAGCAAACTATTAAATGTAAGAAGTGTTTTATAAAACATTTGCATAAACTTTAATCTGTTAGCGTATCTGTTATATTAGAAGGCATCTCTGTTTCTTTAGAATGAAGCCATTCAAAGACTTTTCTGCAACAGATCCTACATGAATTGCTTATATTCTTTCCACAGAAACACGTTTCAAAAGATGTGCACTGTTACTTTAATGCCCTAACGAAGCACAGACATCATCGTGCTGCTTGCTGGATAAAATGTGCTGTGTCAGTTGAAGCTCTAATGAGTCATTAGGTTTATAAAGATATAACCAATTTCCCTGATGTCTTGACACACTTCTGTAAAGAAAGGAGTGAGGCAGCAAGCAAACAGTGAGAAAGGCCCAGCAGCCATCTGAGGTGAGGTCAGATGAGGTAAGAGCAAGAAAAATAAATCTCCACAGGCCAAACTACTGATGCAACGCTCCTTGCACAAGTCCAGGTCTGAGCCAGATCTGCATGTGCAAGCGGAGTCTCAATAGGAATTAAGAATGTTAATTAATTACAATAACACTTAAACACTTTTCAAATGTATGAGACAAGGACATTTCATGTGCTGACTTACACTTTGTTTCTGTTTATTGGCTTAGTTGCATGGCACCTGGTAGCCACAATGGTTACATTCACACTGGTTGCCATTATTAGGAGTGTAATTACCTGGTATGTGCCCCCTGCAGGTGTAATAGAACTCGCGGCAGAAGTTCTGGCAGAGCTGTGGCAGGTCTGGCTCTCTGTGTGGCATTCTGTCCATGTCCAACGAGTGGAACAACACCTGGGCATTGGGGGAGCAGCGAGCGCACTTGATCTCCTCCAGAATGCGTCCACACTCTGTGTTGTTAGTGGAGAAAATCTGGAGACCACACACAAGAAGGAGCAACACCTTATTAACACAGAGCGCTCAGTGTTGTACGAGCCAGGATCAGCTGTTATGCAGTGGCAACATGGATGTAGTTTTGGGGGGGACAGGGGGGACATGCACCCCCCCCCTCCCCCCCAAGTCATTTTTTTGTCCCCTGCACATTTTACCATCCATTACGCTATATTAAATAGACACTGGTTGAGCACTAGGACCAAGCGGAAAACAACCACTTGTTTAGAACGTCCATAAGCTCATCTATTGGCTCTGCTGATACTTGCTAACGTTCCTGCCACCTGTGTACTTGACACTGCATAAAAGGGCCTCTATGCTGTGGATTTATACATATTTATTGTATACTTACTGTAAAGATCCCCCCCCCCATCCCCTCTGGTCCTCATACAAGTTCTGCCCCCCCCCCCCCCCCACACACACACACACACTTCTAAAGTCAAAACTACGTTCATCAGTGGGTGACAATATTAGTAAAATGAGACATTATTAGGGCTGCACAATATTAGGAAAATCTGCGATGTGCAATAGTAGTGATTAAAATTGCGATGACGACATGACTTGTAGGAAATACACAAATACTTAATCAATCAATCATCACTCAAACAAGGCATTATTTATAAAGCACCTTCAACAAGCCTCAATGGGAGACTAAGGCGTGGGACACAGCACATAAAAAAATGTTTTTACACTAGAATGTAGTGCAACAATTCACAAAATGACTAAAATATATAATAAAAAGGGGAAAAATCCAAAATTGTGATCAAAATATGTGAGGAAAGGAGAAAATAAAGTGAACAAGAAAAGGCAATCAGTGGATCCTGGGAAAATCAGAATCGGCAGAAAGAGCTGAACGAAGCTAACAGGTTTTTGCTAGCCATCCAAATAAAGGGCCATCTGCCTAGGGGGCGGGCACCTAACCTATAAGAACACACATGATTGGCCAAATGAGTAAAGAGTTCTATTTGATTTGTCAAAAACTTCATGTTTCTGTTTGATTGACAAAGTGCATTATGTGTAGCAAACATTTGAGCTGACCATTCATTGTGTTTTTGTTTTCTTTTGTTATTTGCGATATGCATATTGTGTATGCTGATATCACGATGACGATTTATTTGTCATGTATTGTGCAGCCCTAATTATAGTGCTATAAACAGTTTATAAATACAAAAATCATAAATGTTGTGACAAGTTCACATTTGTTTAGATGTTCAAGAAATTGAGCAATAAAAACAGTTTCAATGTTTTTTTTTATTTGAATTCAAAAGAATTTGAAATTTTGTTTTCATTGCCCTGAAAATCCCAGAAATTCTCGATCAATGCTAAATATACTACCATCAATCAGTATGGTGAAACGTTAAAGCAGATGGAACCCTACTCGGTTTGGTCAGAATCAGAAGATTCAGAGGGTCTGGCTTATAGATGATTGGATGATTAAAAAGATAATTGCTGTTTGGGTCAGTGAATGCACCGTTTTCAAGCAGCAGTAAATGATGCCTGACATTTTTTCCAGCCCAAAACCTCTCCATATCTAAGAGCCATAACAGATCATCCATGTGTACGTTTTCACCTCCAAAATCATCATTTTCAAATTTGTCAAAAATGTAATTAAAGAATGCTTTCTGTAAACCTAGTTGAGAAAACTCTCAATCAGACTAAATCTGTGCTGGCAGAATTGGTGCATTTTTTATTAAAAAGAAACTGCAACACCAAGCCACAATAAAGTGCTTGAATCTGACTTCTTAGTCTAAATGAACTGTTATTTTTACACTTTATGTGCTACCCTAACATTATTTTCTCTTCTGCATCCTTTGGAATTAGTTAAGCACTGAGGTTGGACCTCCCTCCTTGTTTGCAGAAATAAAGAAATCATTTATTCCTCTGCTAATTTACATTGTTAAAATGTAATTACAACTCCTATATCTGACAGAACTCAGGGCATGAAAAAAGGGAACCAAAATAAGGGCCTCAAATTCTAATGAAGGGTTATTACGTAAAGGTGCACAAAGAGATAATCCAATAAGAAATTAGCAAGATTATTTAGATAACAAATTAGCCATAATGAAACACAATGTAATCTGTTTTAGGTCAAGAGCTGCGCTCCATGTGCAGCCATGCAGGCTGGTAGTATTTTTGCTCTGTGTGAGGTCCATGTGTAAACACTAATTTGTAGATAGACAGGCACATCACTCCGACTCTGATACCAACAAATTAGCAGTCTGTCGAAGTCAATTAAACCAGGGGACCCAAGGCTAACATGTGGGCACCTTACACTCTGGCTACAGAACAAACTTTAACTGCTGAAAAGACTTTGAGTTGAATAGTTATTTGGGAGTTTGTTAATGCAACAGGTGGTAGAGCTCCTGACAAGAACCTAATGTTGTTTCCTGAAAACCATGCACAGAGGGGTTTCATCAAAGCGATCGGTGTAAAAGACTAAAGCACAGGCAGTTTCAGAAAATAACAACAAATTTGAATCTTAAGCAGGAATTTGTTAAACTGTCAGTGTTTCACTAAAGAAAATGCAGCTCCGTGCTGGCTGTGACCCCTGTATGTGTGGTATGTTCCCCTGTCCCGGTGCCCTCTGCTCTCATGACATGTAGTGCTGCGGGCAGGCCTGCTCTAAATTGCCCATTGATTGTGTGTGCCATGGTTTGGCACAAAGTCTACAGAGAGGAGCATTCGTGTGCTCTCAGCCATGCTCTCTGTCCATATGTTGCTGGGATGGACTCCAATGTTGCCATCATCCAAACCAGAACAAGTAGGTCTTTGTTTGTTGTGTTCTTTTGCTCAATCTCAGCGGGCATAATCCTCAACAGTAAGGGGGGAAATGGGAATGAGGCTACATATTGTCAATATTTTGTGTCCAAGTTGTTTGAAATTGTTACCACTATTATTTTTACTATTATTTGAGATTGTTGTTCATTTTTAAACTGGCAAAGCAACTGCAACGCTCATTTTAACATGGGAGAAAAAGCAGTACCAAGACTGTTACTGACTATAAAATAAAATAACCTGCATAATGTCCTGAAAACAACATAATCATGAGCAGTGTCCAGGTTATCCTGAAAAAAATTATTAATTGAGTGCTAAGTGAGTATATTTTCATTATTGAATACTGACAATAACAATTAGAGATGTAAGAAAATATCTATATGACAAAATGTCATGATATTTTGTCCTGCGATATTATATCAATATTCAAAAGTCATGTATCAATTTTTTTATGAATTTACATGCAAGCATTTGTGTTTTTTCTATATTGTGAGTGTAATACCTTTGTTTCCACCATTGAAATGCAAATCCCTCTATTATGGTTCAGTACCTCATGTTAAACATGTTGTGTATCAGTTTGTAAATTGGTCTAAATTGGTATATCATCTGGCTGAATGTATCGCAATATATTGTTATATAACGTATTGTCTTCCCTGTATCGTGATATTATCGTATTGCCAGAATTTCACCCACACACATCCCTAATAATGATTTTAGGGTAGTAAATGCTAACTTGGTTTCCCTCGCATAAATTTGAATCCCTACTAAACAGGACAACTCTGGTCTCCTTAAAACACAAACTCTGGATGGCGTCCTCGGCTCAATGAGTGTGTGAAACAACTATGCCTTTAATAATAAAGTTGTAATTTAACAACCTTGCCAAAAAGCGAGAGTGAGTGTAAAACTAAATGAAAATAATAGTGAAGGGTAGATATTAAATCTAATCCAAGTTAAAAAAAAACTCTACACACTAATATAAAATCATTTGATTACCTAAAACTAGTGCAAGAATACAGGAAAACCACACAAATGGCACTGGTGTTTGCTTTTGTGTTGATGTGCATGGAAAAATGGGAAAAGGAAAAGCACAACCAAGAACACAAATAAATCATTTAGTTATTGTGACAACTTTTATGCACAATAACACATATTGTTCCAGTTAAAAAAACATAATTATTGAAAATAAATCTTCCTGAACTCTACAACTTTCATATGATCAGAGAGGGCGAGACACAGGGTGGCTGTGAGGCAGCCAACACTAAGCTTTAACAAAACACTGGTCCCTAGGGAATAGGTCTAAGTTTGCTGGCAGGGGGATATAGTGACGAACACACACCCTCTCAAAGGCATTAACACTTGGACAGGCCTGATTACGGGGGAGAGTGATGTTCTCCAGCTTCTCCTATTAGTGAAACCAACAAACACAATGGTGTTGTTGTTATTCTTTTGCCATAATCAGAAAAAGCTCCGTGTGTGGGCAGTGTAGTGGGGAGGAGGACAAGTCAGTCCCCCACCACCACCCGTCCTATTTGCATGACTTGAGCAAATTAAATGATGCAATATGGCTTTTTGTCACCACACAATGTGAGATACCACCCAGCAACTGAATTAAACGAGGGGTGTTTTACATGACAAAGGCCCGGTGAGAATCTGGTGGAATCCGCTACAAGTTTGGCACACATACAGTCGCGTCTACTGCATTTCTCCTGGCTCGCTACATTGGTGAGCAAACACAAGTTAGTTGCAAAGGCTAACAGTCAGAACTGGGTAATTTGTTGGCTTCAATTATTTTAGACATTACAGTATACCTGCTCAAACAATAAGTTACCAGGACCATGTGAAATATGTAACAGAATTTTCAACTGCCCTCTAATGACAGCAGTAGATATCTAGATATCTGACTAGGGGGGGCTGTTGAGTACCAATTATTTTGCTGGTTATTTTAAACAAGACAGAACAGATGTACTATATGCAACTATAAAATCAAACCTTCAGTGTTTAATGCTAAAACGATTCACCCTTCATCATTGTCCCGTTTCCAGCCTGGAACTGTTAATCAATGTTGGTACGAAAAGGTGGCGAGTTTTCCTGAAGCCTTTGACCATCTCTGTTTCTTCTTTACTGATATTAAACTTCAGGTAATGTTCATCACTTCCCACCACCTAACAGTAGTAGTCAAGAACAGGTCCATGTTGAATCTCAGCAGTCCTCAGCAGATAAGACTATAAAGCCGAGTTCATGCTAGAGGTATTAGCGACACGGAACGGCGACGCTAATAAATCAAAAATAATCCATTCTACTCTATGGGGTTGATCCAAACCAGAGCACTTCAAGTACGTCCCAGAAGCAGCTTATTGATAGGATTGACTTCCTCTCAGATGTGTCAATTTCTGCAATTAACATAGGGCTAGACAGAAAATCGCACATGGTATCTGTGTAAAATGATTGGCAATTGCCAAAATAAAGGTCTACTGCAGAGATGCGATTTCTTATCTAGGTAGATTACGTCTATACGTGTGCCCTGACGCCTAATTTACTATCAGTATCTTTCAAGAAGTGTTTTCCATGGCTTTAATCCTGGCAGTGAGAGGAACATTATGACTTCCAACAGCGGTATCAAACGTGATCTCCTTCGTCTTCTTTTTTACTTTTAATTGTTGATGGCATAAACAAACTGGGATTTTTAAAGACTTGAGGGATTTTGTGACCTTGTGAGTCCAGCGAGGACGATGGGCGGAGATCCCGCTCTGCGACTGAGACCCCCCACCCCCCACAGTGTGGATTGATGCACCGCGAAGCACGCAAGTAAACCGTCCCGCTGCCTTTCTCCCCCACTGATGCCTCCAGTGTGGACCTGGCGTAACAGTGTGATCAGCAAACTTGAACAGGTGTCTGTTGTTGAAAGCTCTGTTGCAGTTTTTGCATATAAAATAAATAAAAAGGGGAGAGGACACCACCCTGAGGTGCACCTTTGGGTGACAGTAAGCTGTCTCCTAGATAGGACAACATTCACCCTTACTGCCTATGTTTAAAGGTCTAAAATCCACCTATCATGTTAAAAGAGGTGAGGGATTTTGCTCACCAAGATGTGGGGTTGAACCCTGTTAAAGTCTGAGGTAAAATCCACAAATAAACGCCTTACACGGGGTTTTGTGCCTTACGAATGCTTGAATAGATCCTTTTAAGGTGTAACTGTAGCATGCCCCACTCCTCTGTGCACCAGGTAAGCAAACCTCAGTGGGTCAAGTTATCGAACAAAAATACTTTGACCAGTTGCTCAAAACAGTTCATAATAACAGAGGTCAGAGCCACAGGTCTAAAATGAAGTTCCTTTTTGGATAATTGTATTTATTTATTTTTGCCCCGGTACAATTATAGATTCATTCCAGAATTTGGGAGCCTTCTGCTGAATAACAGACATGTTAAACAGCCCTGAATAAATAGTTGGTCCGCACATCAGGTCCCGGGCTTTTCTTCATGTTACATCTGTGGAACACAGATCTGACTGACTGATTCATACAGCAGGCTCGTTGAGGACAGGACTATTGTCCAATGCTCTAAAAATATCACCACTTGTAAAATTTCATTCATCATTAAAACCTATATTTTAAAAAAATCACCTTTTTTGCAAGCTTCAACTGACGTTTACAAGTCCCCACTTGTATTCACCTGCTAGCCAGTCGCGGCTGCCATCCCTTACAGATTATTACATTTGTCCTACCTCTGTTTTTATATTTAACCCTGGCTGATTTTTTAGCCCAAACCTTCTCTTTCACTTAATTGTGTAAAAAGACAACATGTACTTTTTCTGGAACGCATCCCTCACTACTTAGGTCGACTGTCTGGAAACACCTTGACCTGCTTTTTGAGAATAATTGAGAGTTTTATGGACAGCAAATGTTCAGAAACACATCAACCCTTTCATTAATGTCTTTATAATCATAAACACACCCCAATTGGTGCTCTCTAGGACTCCTTTCATTTCCTATAACGACTCGGTCGGATTTGACAAATAAAACACTTCCATGGTTAAGCTGATGTTGCTATCATAGTAGCCCCAACTTAGGCGAATAAGCGGCAGTTTTAAGACAAAAAGAAAAAAAATAACTGAGCATGTATCTTTTAGAAGTAAAAACGCGTATTTTATCAGTACAGATGTACCAAACTCCCGATTAAAACGTATGGCTCTTCGTACCGCGCTTTCTCGCCCCTCACGTTTAGTTCTCGATTAAAACAATCAAAATAACAATACTCTTTCTGGTCTTTGAACGCATCTCGTAAAATCCGAAAACCCCATCGTGTGAGACGGACACTAACATACCCTGGCATCCTTGCGGTGGAGGATCTGATAGGCGGCTCTCCTGGTGGGACAGCAGGACACGCGGGGATACAACCTGTGGCAAACGTCGCTGCTGCTGCTGTCAAGCAGCACTTTCCGCTCTCTTTTCTTCAGCCGCTTGGGCGAGCTTCCGTCGTAACATCTTCTCCTCCTGGGGCTTATTTCTCCTCTCTCACCGAACTTTGCGTCTCCACATTCCCACACGTTGACCGCGATGGCCAGCACGAGCACAAATTGCAAATGCTTCATAGTTTAAAAAAAGCACGCAACTGAAATAAAAAAAAATAAATAAACAAAACACTAAAAAGTGTTTCCTCTCTTACTAAACAAAAACGTATAGTAGTTTCTTGGCTGTAGTTATAATATTTATGAATCTAAAAAATCAGTACTAAGTTGTTGATGAACAGATTTAATTAGATTACAATGAGAAGTGTTTCAAAAATAAATTAGTGTTTCTTCTGTTTACAGGACAACAAAAACAAAACGACAATAAAAAAGTATCCTGGTGAAGTAAAAAAGTCAAAACCAAGAGACGTTCCTCTCAGAAGTCATCCCTCTGTGGCGCAGCGCGGCAGTCTCAGCACGCACAAGACAAAACAACATCAGAAAATAAAAAGTTGTGTCCCACTAAAGTCCTCTGAGCGCTCACATGTTTTCCCGTGCTCTTTCCTCCTTCTTTTTAACCAGCGCGCGTGAAGAGGGGCGAGCGCGCTGACGTAGGACTTCGCGCGGACGCGCGCTTGGACACAGTCGCGCGTGCACGCCGCGGTTCACCTGGCAGAGAGGTGAACGGAGCCTAGAGGCAGAGGGAGGGAGGGAGTCCTGCTGGCTGCTGCTGAGCTGACACTGCTCACTGCACCGGAGAGGAGAAATGACAATGCCTCGCTTAAAAACGCGAGAAATAACAGAATACACCAAGAGAATCAGCTGGAATGGCCTTGTTTCTCTGGGTGACTCGGAAGACCCATCAGTCTGGCCTTTTTATTACTTTTGTGACAAAAATGTAACTAGGTTGACAAAAGCAGCTGGTGTTTCAGAAAGAGCAGATGTGTGCAAAAACTCCTAGAAAACTTTAAATGTAAACATAAACATGTGGTTTTATTTTTCAAGTCAAGCTTCTTCTAAAGTTGTCATTGGCTCTCGGGTATATTGTTGCATTGAATACTCGGAATACTACATTGTGTTTTGTATTAATTCAAAATCGGTTTACAAGTGTTTAGCACAGTACCTTAAGTACAGAACATGAGTACATATAGTTTGTCTTCAGAAATCGGTGATCCATGTTTGATAGAAATGGCCTGTATTTGATAAAGCACGAATCCTAGACTCACCCATCTGGGGAAGGCTGCTGTTGGTTTAACGTCCAGGAAACAGCAGAGAATGTCTCGGCTATAGAAGCTAACAATTAGCATTAGCAACTCCACCACACAACAGAACTCCTCCAGGCTTGGTAGAGTCGCGTTGCTGTTTTCCAATCTGAGATATCCAAATATCAGGAAAATAAGACCGTCTGACTTCAGCTGATTTCTCCATGCGGACACAGGCACATCTGAGCTTTATTTCCCCCTGAGTGTGACTTACAAGGCCTTTATTCCTACTTTAGACCACTGCTAATGTAAGAAAATATGATTGAAAGACCTTTTTTAAGTGTCTTGCCCAAGGACACAACAGCAGCCTTCAATTTGCTGATGTGTTTATTATGCAAAGGCATGAAAACTGATACGATCGATTAAAACCTGTCATAATCTATAAATTTAGAACAGCTTAAGTTCAAAAGCAATTGTGGACAAACAGTTCATTTAAATCCTTTTTGTTAATCAGATTTGGATTTTTTAAATTTCGAGTTTCAGAAACCAGTTTGTAGATTTGCATCATGATCATTTTAAGCTGTCAAAATGTTGTCATACAGGTTTAAGTATCTGTCTTATTGGAATCTGAGCCAAACAGCATTGGCTTGAGCTCTAAGTGGACTTAATGGGATGAACTGGATTGAGTTTGTGCTATATAAACACATTGAACTGGTTTCAAATGGGAGAGACTTTTTTATTGGGGAACAAGTGAAATGTCACATGCAAGTTGCTGTTGTTTTATTTGTTTTCTGATGCAAGAAGAAAGAGCTTGGTAGAACAGAATGTGCCATGGGCGATGGAAAACAAATCACTGATCACCTGATATCCACCCATTACTTGCCATACATTTTAAAGGCATCTTAATTTAACTGGTTTCTTGAAAAAACTAAATGTGGAGCATTTTCCCTGCATTCCCCCTTGATTGCAATCCAGAAGGGAATGTCCAACTGTGTTATTTACACGGAAAACAACAGTCCAGTCCTTTTTTTTTAGGATACAACCTGGAATCAGCTCCATTAGTAGCACCTGTTCTTACTTGGGGGTCTATGGCCCTCAGCAGATCCCTGGCTCAGTTTATCTACAGGGATCTGGAGCGGGTGGAATCCAGAAGTGGTTGGTTTGATTGTGGGCCATTTTGGAAATGACTGACTGTGTGTTATGAAACTGTGGCAGACCCTGCCAGATCTGGACCCCCTCCTTACACAGCATTCGTTTCATTACCCAACAGGATACGTATCAAGAAAAGTAAAACCAAAACGCTACTGACATATTCTGTATGTAAATCAGAAAGGGAACAAAGCAATGTGAGGAGAGGAAATCTGCTACCAACACCACTATCACCACAAACACAAGAGCTCCAAGAACAGAAAAGATTATAACTGCATTGTCTAACAGCATGAAAGCATGTGGGATGCAGCTGTGCACCAAAGAGGAGGACATCTGCTAGGAGAGATAGACCAAGAATCACAGCTCGACAGACGGCAGTTCTAAACTAACATAGTGAGGAATAGACTCAGGACAGCCTCAGGAACATGAATACACGCAGAAAAATAAGCAGACATCCAAGTAAAATGTCTTTCCTTGCAGGGTAGCTTTCTGCTTTGTCTCCTGAAGTCTCATAACAAGTCCATCAGCAAGATGAGGCTGTTTTCTGTCGCTTTGGCTCATTAGGACCACTCCTGTAAACTGGAGCTGATGAATAAGTAAACTGTTCGCTAGCACAGACCTTTTTTGTACATTCCTTCTGTGTGTAACTTCATAATTCATGACTTTGTTCTTTTTTTACACAGCTTAGTAAATGAATAGATTTTTATCTTACATGTTTCGGCTAATGACTCTAGCCATCATCAGAGTTCCGGCGACGTCACCAACAGCACAGAGACCTTTCTGACAACAGACTCACTGGCTTGCTCCTACAGTCATTCAGTGAATTATGATGCACTCAGCATCTTTCAGTTTGAAAGGAGATTTCCTTGAACTATCATTACTACTTCTTCTATGTTCTTGGAAGAGAGGTTTAGGATCATAGTTGTGGTTCAGTTTTATTGTTTTCGTCATAATTTTGCACCACAATAAAAGCCTGCTGAGCTTGAGAGATGAAAGAAGTATAATGGTGCTTTTTAGTTGTTCTTTCTGTTTCAAGAAGACAAACGTCTATCTACAAAGGTCTTGTTACCAAAACTGACATTGACTGCATTGTCTGCCAAACTACATAATTTATGTGTACATAAAACTGAATTTCAAGGTGAAGTTCTTAACCCTTAGAGGTCCCACGTGCATTTGTTTTTTGTGCAGGCGCTCATGTTTTGTTGAATAATTTTGGCTGTACTGATACAACTCTTTTTCATTTTTGCTCTAGTGTGTGTTTTTGGGGAAGTTTACCAAAAATACTGAACACTGAGGGCCCTCAGACATTTTTGTGCCGTTGACTCCCATTCAAATGACATTTTTCAAACTAAGCTAAATATCACCATTTTTTTATTCACTCCAACTGTGTTCCTGCTGCCACCAGGGACTGAAGTTGTTGTTTTTACTTTTTTCCACCAAATGGCATGGATTCTCTATAAACACAATTTAGTAATGTATGTTTTGAAGATTTTATTGCCAAACATATTTTTATGCTCATTTGTTACTCTCAAGAGCCCTCACAATTCACCCCCAAAAGAAGTTCTCCAGACATAACGCAGAAACAATTATTTCATTTTTACTTTTTTATACTGTTGACTTTTTGTGACAAAACATCATGCTAAAGGGGTTAAAACTCAAAAACACCCAACATTTTACTATGTTTGGTGAGGACCATCAACACACACACACACACACACACACACACACACACACACACACACACACACACACACACACACACACACACACACACACACACACACATATATATAGATAGATAGATAGATAGATAGATAGATGATAGATAGATAGATAGATAGATAGATAGATAGATAGATAGATAGATAGATAGATAGATAGATAGATAGATAGATAGATAGATGATAGATAGATAGATGATAGATAGATAGATAGATAGATAGATAGATAGATAGATAGATAGATAGATAGATAGATAGATAGATAGATAGATAGATAGATGATAGATAGATAGATAGATGATAGATAGATAGATAGATAGATAGATAGATAGATAGATAGATAGATAGATAGATAGATAGATAGATGATAGATAGATAGATAGATAGATAGATAGATAGATAGATAGATGATAGATAGATAGATAGATAGATAGATAGATAGATAGATAGATAGATAGATAGATGATAGATAGATAGATAGATAGATAGATAGATAGATAGATAGATAGATAGATAGATAGATAGATAGATAGATAGATAGATAGATAGATAGATAGATAGATGATAGATAGATAGATAGATAGATAGATAGATAGATAGATAGATAGATAGATAGATAGATAGATAGATAGATAGATGATAGATAGATAGATAGATAGATAGATAGATAGATAGATAGATAGATAGATAGATAGATAGATAGATAGATAGATAGATAGATAGATAGATAGATGATAGATAGATAGATAGATAGATGATAGATAGATGATAGATAGATAGATAGATAGATAGATAGATAGATAGATAGATAGATAGATGATAGATAGATAGATAGATAGATAGATAGATAGATAGATAGATAGATAGATAGATAGATAGATAGATAGATAGATGATAGATAGATAGATAGATAGATAGATAGATAGATAGATAGATAGATAGATAGATAGATAGATAGATAGATAGATAGATAGATAGATGATAGATAGATAGATAGATAGATAGATAGATAGATAGATAGATAGATAGATAGATAGATAGATAGATAGATAGATAGATAGATGATAGATAGATAGATAGATAGATAGATAGATAGATAGATAGATAGATAGATAGATAGATAGATAGATAGATAGATAGATAGATAGATGTGGTGAGGACTGAAGCTAAGGAAAGAATCTGTGTTAAAACATTTTTGACTTTTGAAATATTATATCAGTTTTATTATACCTTTTGCCAAAATGCATTTTTTTGTGTGAGTGTAGCTTTTTTTATGGAACCTCCCAGGGTTAAATACATCTTTCAATCAGTTCTATTTATTCATAAATTCAACAATGGTACATTGGGGCATTGACAAAGTCCCACTGCCATGATTTCAGAGGATGTCACAAGGAAGATGTCAGTCTTCTGCATAGCACTCTGTGCCAACGGTACCACACATTCTCCTTGGTTCCACAATGCTGACATCATTCCTGAAAGTGTACATGAGACTTAGCCAGCATACATGCTGGATC